ATTTATTTATTTATTTAAATACATTTAATTTCTAACTTATAAGTATAATAAATGATATTAAATAAATAGTTTTGTGACCACTTATAGTGCAATCGCTGCCAAAGCGGTGGCAAAAGTGTCCACTTTGTTCGGGTAATTTGTGACCGCATGTGTGACCGCATGTGTGACCGCATGTGTGACCGCATGTGTGACCGCATGTGTGACAGTACGGTGTGATTATCGAGAAGATTGTGGGAAAGGGAGTGTAGGGGTGGCCCAACACTCTTAACCGGTTACTCGCTGATAGGTTACGACAAGGAGGAGCCAAGAATTGTAACAATAATTAATAAAAATTTTATTTATTTGACATGGAAAGTTATCAAAACTTATTACATACAGTATACTTTACATACTGTATTTAATAAAATGTATTACAATGACTCCTCATTGTCGTAACCTGTCAGCGAGTAACTGGTTAAGATATCAGCACGAGATATTCATTTTATATTTTTTATTTGGCCTAATCTACTATTTAAGACTAATTTCATCAACATCGGTGTTAGGTAAGGATAATACTTCACTTGTAAGATCTGTCATAGTAAAAACAAATGGCATATTATTATTGTTATAATTATATGATTTATTAAATATCAATAATACAATTTATTAATATAAAATTTTAATAAGAATTTGTTCAAAATTATTATTTATCATTTATCGTATAATTAAACGATATTGTTTTAAATTTAATAAAATTATGTTAAACATAAAATGTGAACAATTAATGACATCTTAATGTACCTGATATTAAAATAGTTAAAATGCACAAGTTTAAGGAAGATCCCTTTAAGTGATAGATTGTGATCGTTGTTTCCAAGAAAATCCTGGGGGTAGCGATTGGGGTCCTTATCCTCCGAGTGGTGCCAAACATATATCACTTCATTCTTCTCTATTGTCTGCCATTTCTTTACCACAGCTTTCAATGCATTTAACTCAGACTCTATGGAAAACGTTATCAATTTATACAATAATTTTAAGTTATTTATAAATAATTAATAATAATAATAGTAATAGTTATAGAAATACCGTTGAGATTAGGTATGCGTTTGCACTGTCCGTCTCCGCCAAACCTCCAGCCATGGAATGGACACTGAATACAGTCGTCGCCCGACTCTGACTCAGTCACCACATGTCCGCCGACACCGAGAT